CCCCAGGGGGAAGGGGGGGAAACCCCCCGCCATATAGAACGCACCCACCGCTGCGCGGGCGGGAAACGGCGTGCGCCGTGGTGTGTGTGTGTGTGTGTGTGTGTGTGTGTGTGTGTGTGTGTGTGTGTGTGTGTGTGTGTGTGTGTGTGTGTGTGTGTGTGTGTGTGTGTGTGTGTGTGTGTGTGTGTGTGTGTGTGTGTGTGTGTGTGTGTGTGTGTGTGTGTGTGTGTGTGTGTGTGTGTGTGTGTGTGTGTGTGTGTGTCACGTCACTGCATCCTCTGCCGGTTCCTCCCGTCGCCTCTTCTTTGTTCGAATGTTTTTCAATCCATCCTTCACGAAGCCTTCCCATGTAGCTAGCGTTCTTTGCGAATGTCTCGAGGTGGCCAGCAGGCGCTGTCTGCTCGCGGCCCGTGCGGGTCGCTCGTCCTCCTCGCGCTTCTTTCGTCCTCCCGTCCCTCCCCTCCACCATGGCCTCCTCGGCACTTCTTTCTCCATCCGCCTCGCCCTGCCTTTTCGTATCGTGCCGTTCGCCCTCCATTCGGTGACCTCCATGGCTGTCCGACTCTGTTTGGGTGGCGCTCTCGATACCGTTGCGTCAACCTCGACGTCGCTGTCGCCCTCCCCGTCCCCGTCGTCGCCCGTGCCTGGGGCAAGGGGGGGCAACCCTCGCGTCTCCACGTCTAACGACAGGAGCCCCACGGCATTTAAAGTGCAAGGCCCGGTGCGCGTGGGTGAGCGGTGTGTGTGTGTGTGTGTGTGTGTGTGTGTGTGTGTGTGTGTGTGTGTGTGTGTGTGTGTGTGTGTGTGTGTGTGTGTGTGTGTGTGTGTGTGTGTGTGTGTGTGTGTGTGTGTGTGTGTCACGTCACTGCATCCTCTGCCGGTTCCTCCCGTCGCCTCTTCTTTGTTCGAATGTTTTTCAATCCATCCTTCACGAAGCCCTCCCATGTAGCTAGCGTTCTTTGCGAATGTCTCGAGATGGCCAGCAGGCGCTGTCTGCTCGCGGCCTGTGCGGGCCGCTACGTCGACTACGGTTGCGCGCCCTCGAGCGCGCTTAGCGACGGCGTCTCGCGCTCGAGATGCGACATCGCGCGCGAGGCGGACAGCCGTGTAGGTAGTAATCAGTAACAATATCCGCAGAAAACGCTCTCGGCTCTCGCTCTTTGTTCGCTCCCTGAGTAAGGCGTGGCGAGTGTCCGCGAGAACCGAGTATCACAAAAAAAGGCTCACAAATGCGATTTTGCGATACGGCTTGAAAATGCAAACATTAAGGTTCTCCGGGCCAGTTGGGGGGGGCAAACCCTGCCCGGCCCCTAGGACCCCAGGGTAAGGCCCAGGTGTGGCCTAGGGCATCAGAAGGGACCAAGAGGAGTCCAGTCTGAGCCATAGAGCCCATGTCTTTGCCCCCGAAGGTCGCGTTCAAATGCCCGGAACGGACGTCACAGTGGTGTCCGGCCGGCGCGATCACCGAGCTGTGACGCTCAGGGAAGACTGATGAGGTGCTAGTTTCTTTGGCCAGGGCTGGCCTTCCCCCCAGGCTGGATCAGCTGAGCAAGGTTTGGGGAGAATCCCCCATTCAGATCTTCAGATTTTCTGCCCCATGAACAAAATCACCAGAGATTCTGACGTCTCTGATCT